TATTTCTTCCAGAGAAGTCTTCAATATTTTCTATACGATGTAGTTTAGCATCCTTTAATGTTTTAAGTTTATAAAAAGTATTTTCAGTACCGTTATGACGCAGTTTTTCTGCGATTCGAATCTTGTTATTCTGTTCGCACATGAGCGGGACGGATGGTGCTTCCGGGACGGATGGGGTAGTGACAGTGGCATCAAGAGCAGAACCAGTTTCTCAGCTTATCCCATCGATTTAAGGTGGATTTTATAATGTTTCTCATTTTATCAGTGTTCTGCTAAGCAGCGGATTTTGGTCAGAGACGGATCCCAGTCCTGGATCAGCCTGATCCCAGTCGTGGATCAGCCTGATCCCAGTCCTGGATCAGCCTGATCCAATCCTGGATCAGCCTGATCCAATCCTGAGCCGGATCGGCTGCCACCCTGAATAAACTATCACAGTTATTCTCCTACCTTCCTGCAGGTTGTTTGCTGTTTGGATTAGGCGTGTCCAGACTCGGCCCTCCAGAGCCGCCGTCCAGCAGGTTTTAGATGTTTCCTGCTTCAGCACAGCTGATTTTCATTGATTAACAGGATTAAGCTGAACTAAATCATGAGAATCAGCTGAGCTAAAGGAGGGAAACCTCTGAAACCTGCAGGATGGCGGCTCTGGACATGCCTGGTTTAGAGGTGGTGCTTTTTAAGCGTAGAAAGATGTAGCGAGGGAAATGAGCCGCCTACAGGCAGAACATGTAAACACTGGAAGCAGAACCTGGTAGGTGTCCCAGAGGCGGATGGTACAGCGAAGCGGCAGCTCCCTCATCAGCAGGTTGTTCATCCAGCGGAAAGCAAACTGCAGGTACTCCACCTCATATTTCTTGAAATGATTGTGAATGTCCACTAAAGAGGAAACAGCGTTATTGTAATGGGTGGGGGGAAACGGAGACTTCCTCCTGCTCCTTGGGCTCCTCACCATCGATCCGGCCGACCAGCTCCTCCAGGGCTTTCACCTTGTTCTGGATCCCCGGCTGGGCGAAGGTGTAGTTATCCTGAAGGGAGAGCCAGGTCATTTAACGGGAACACCAACAGTCAAAGCGCACGGCGCGCACGGCGCGCACGGCGATCTCGCCGCATGCCGCCTCACCTGTATGCCATCCAGCAGTTTGCTCATGCACCAGAAGCTGTCGGCCTCGATGTTCCTCTGGGTCTCCAGAGGCAGAGCTGCAACGTCGAAGTTCTCAACATCCTCCGCTAGAAAAGAAAGAAGATCCGTCAGAAACGTCTGCTTTTCTCCCTGGCTGGTCCTGAACCTCGGAGCTACAGACGGCCGGAACATCTGCACACTTTCGCAGTCATTTCTAAACTTTTTAATCAAATTTGTAATATTTTAATACAACAAATCTTGTAGAAGAGCTGCTGCAGGACTGATTCTATTATTATATCTGCATTGGTTTCCGTACTGAAGGCAATACTGGATTGGTATCAGTAAAAATGGTCCTTAGGGGCAAATCTATTCAATAACTAATAATGACATCATACGTTTAAACCTGACCCCTTAATATGCAGCAGATCCATTTAAACTGGATCCTGTTGAGATGATTTTCAGCTTTTCTGACATTTTGGACATTTCCTCTCCGGGAAAAAGGTTCTAATTATTTATTTAGGAAATCAATTAATCTGTCAATTATTATTTTGATTAATAATCAGATCGCCAAAGGTTCCTTAAAAAATATTTTTTTACAAAATGAAACCAGGTGAAAAAAACTTTACCACTTGAGGACAGAAGAAACATTTTGTTTTTTCCATCTTAAATATAAAATGTTATTTTTTTCTTATCTTGTTATAATTCCTGCTCTAAGTGAGTCGCTCTGTGGGCTAAAAGCAGGTTTTACAGCCTCTATAATCCAGTTACTGATTAATCGATTAGTAAACTATTATTTTAATCTAATTGTTTCAGCCATGGTGTAAATTCATAGATACTTGTTTTCAGACATTCATTTATAAAAGCATCTTAAAAAACAGTAATGATGATGACATTAAAGCAAACAGCTGTGACATCAGAAAGGGATCAAAATGACCAGAAATCTGACTTTAATATCAGGAAACAGATAAATTTATGAACGTAGTTTATTTGAGGAAAAATAGAAATGTTACCGTTCATCTAGAGGAATAAGAACAGGATTTGAAAACTGAAAATGCTGTTTTGCCAAACTTAAAGGTATAGCGGAGGATCTTTTATTTCCGGGTGGATCACCTCAATTAGTGGTCCTCCTAACTGTCAATCATTCTGGTGCTATATTTCCGTAAGGCCGTCCTACGTTCTCGTCCCCATTTTCTCTTGGCGAGTCTGACATAGTGGAAAAATTGCAAATATTCTTTAGGAAAGTAAGTTTGTATGAGCGATGCAACTAGCAACTTTTAAACAGTGCGTGCACGAAGAGAAATGGGCTCGTGCACGAGGAGAAATGGGCTTGTGCACGCTCTTGCACGTATTTAAAGGAAAAGTCCGCTCATATTCAGAATCCAAACTTCTGAAAGTTCTTTAAATCTGAAATGATTCCATCC